TATTCAGGCTTGGAAAAATCCTTTCTTCATGTTGTCCGATCAAACATATTAAACATGGACATTTTATCTTTTTAAAGAATGTTAACCACAATTGTTGGACCGTAATGCCCTAATCCTTTAGTTTGAGGACGTGAAAGCAAATATTGAAAGTTTTCATTTGGTCCACTTGGTTAATAATTAGTTAATCTCATAAAGAAGATACTTAATTGCTAAAATGAAAAGGGTGAATTTCTTATTCAAGCAGGATTCAGTGTAAGTAGACTACTATAAATACTCCATGTATAAGTTCAATGTTGAGCAATTTTCCATGGCTTTAACTGTGAAGAATTTTCCTATATTTCTTTTGGTTCTTCTTCTTCCTCTCCTGGCTTCTTGTGATAAGAAACAGGTTCTAATTTCCACTTACTAATCGATTCTTAACTATGTCCAAACCTACATAATTATTGTAGTTTCATATCTTCCACTAAATATACTGTCATTTGCAGGTATACATAGTGTACCTTGGAGAACATAGTGGAGAGAAAACATATAATGAAATTGAAGAAAACCATCATTCATATCTGTTCTCTGTGAAAGAAACTGTGGAAGATGCTAAATCTTCTCTTATTTACAGTTACAAGTCCAGCATCAATGGCTTCGCAGCATTGCTCACCCCAGATGAAGCCTTCAAACTGTCTGGTGAGTCGAACCACCACAAACTCTCTCTCTCTCTCTCTCTCTCTCTCTTTGTGATTATCTAATTCAATATTGTAATTTTTGTTAGCAGAGATTGAGGAAGTGTTGTCTGTAATACGGAGCCAGTCGGCAAAGTACTCTTTGCAGACTACAAGGTCATGGGAATTTTCCGGTTTACAACAACTACAAGGAAGTAAAGGGTTTCAGTTGAAGGAGGACTTGTTACTGAAATCAAGATATGGCCAAAATGTTATTGTTGGCATGCTAGATAGTGGTAATCTTATCCTGTCATTGAACTCTATATATAAATTTATTTTCTTTCTATAATAGCATTGGACGGTTTTAACCGGAATAAAATAAGAATTTCATCATAGTCGAGTCTAATATTGCACATCAAATATTTCATGAAACATTATTTATCAGACTGCCATGATTGCATGTGATGAAATTTTTTTTGTTAATCAGGTGTGTGGCCAGAATCAAAAAGCTTCAGTGATGAAGGAATGGGACCCTATCCATCATCATGGAAAGGAATTTGCCAATCAGGACATGCATTCAACTCATCAAACTGTAACAAGTGAGTTTTCTTTATATTCCCTTCGATGATTGCTATATATTTCACATTCTATAGCTGCCCTTATATATTATAGAAGAAAAATCTAGCCGTATTCGGGCCTCATCAGCACTTAATTAACAACACTCGGCTAAATGATACGGGTTTGGCGCGTACCTCTTCTGCTGAGAGAATCAACTTGAATTAAGGAACTTTATACCTCCAAAGTGGGATTAAGTCCATTTCTTCTAGGTTGTTTCCTAAATGATTAGAAATGACATTTTCAAGTAAAGCGTGAATTGGGCCCAGCTTCTTGTCCTACATTCATGTCCTTATATGCATCACTTATTTATCTATGTTCGGCTTGTGGTTCCTAGCTTGTCTGTATCCAATCAAACCGCGATAAATTCTGGCAAAAAGTTAATATTTTTGGCTTCTTGCAATGCCATCTTGTGAACTTCTATCCCTTCAATGTCTATTTGACTTCTTTTTTTTTTTGTGCGAAAGGCTCTACCAATTATTCTGTGATTTTACTATTACAGGTCATTGTATAATTGTAAAGCATTAACGAATATGACAAATCGTGGTTGTTAGATTTAGAGAGTGACTCGAATTCTATTTTGAAGATGATTGAGAATTCTAATTAAATCCGCGATTTAAAAAGAATTCTATTTGGAATTTTTTTGAATCCTAGTCAAAATCTATTTGGAAAATTCTAGTTGAAATTCTATTTTGAAACCCTATTGTGATGTAGGACAATTGGCGTTAGAGTTGGAAAAAGAGTTGGACCGAAAATTGGCAAAACGAG